AAGAGACTCTCTTCCCTCAGTGTCGTGGAATCAAATCACATATTTTTGTGCTTTCGTCCAGTAAAAGTAAACCAGCACTAAAGTTAAAAACAGATTTCTTTTGTTCTACAGTATTTACGGTGATCTCTGTGTCGGTGAGGCCGGAGGATTCAGTGAGAAGCTGCAGCTTTGAACCAACAGCAGAGATGTTTGTTGGTTCTCTTCTTGCACTGTGGACAGATGTGCTGTTTACATGAGCCTCAAGTCTGTGGTGAATTCCTGGTTTCTGGAAGTCCTGAGCCGGAGCTTGTTGTTGTGGGACTGTAACTGTTTGAATGAACTCTGCTATTATTGACTGTCATTTTATTTAAAAAAAACATTTTTGTCATTTTTCTTTTCAGTAAAATCAGAAATGACAGAAAAGAAGGAGGAGAAGGTGGAGAAGAAGGAGGACAGCGTGAAGAAGGTGGACCTGTTTGACCCTGTGGATAAAGTCGAGCAGAAGAGTGTAAAGGTTGAGTTCACGAGCAGTGAGAGTCCGGTTAAGGTGCAGAAAGAAGGAGAAAAAGACAAAATGAAGGAGGCAGAGAAACAGGAAGAGAAGGTGGATAAAAATCAAAAGGAGGCAGAAAAACTGATAGAAAAGGTGGATGACAAACAAAGGGAGGCTGAAACAGAGAAAGTGCCGCCTGTGCAACAAAAGCCCGAGAAACAGGATGAAGTGAAAGCAGAGAAGACGGAGAAAGAAGAAAAAGTGGAGGTTACAGAAAAGCTGGAGGCTGAAGTCGAGAAAGCACACAATGTGGACAAAATTGCACAAAACGACAAGTCCAAAGTGTCCAAAGTGGAGGACAAAGCAGAGAAGAAGACCGCAGAGAAGCCCGAGATCACAGAAATGAAGGATGGCAAAGAGCAGCACATCAACAAAGTGGAAAAGACCCCAGAGCAACAGCCGACATCCGTCAAGCTCGACACCAGCTGTGACCAGACAGAGAAGAAGGCCGACACGGAGACAAAGGCGACAGCGGAGCAGGAAGACGCCAAGACAGAAAAGGCTGACGCAGGCGAGGCCAAGAAGACGGAGAAAGACGATGAGGCGGCGAAGCCGTCTGAGAAGCCGGTGGAAAAAACAACACAGAAGCCGGAGAAAACCCAGGAAGACAAAAAGACGGTCGAGAAGAAAGATGAGAAGAAGGACAAGGCTGCAAAGGCAGACGGAGACAAGGCGAAGAAACCCACCAAACCCTCAGCGAACGGAAGCATTTCAGCACCAAGCAAAGACCTGGCAGACAGGAAGACCAAGGTAGGGGTCAGAGTGAAATGTTGCTCCTGACATAAGCTTAGGATCATTCTGATGAAACACTGTATCACAGTTTAAAACATCACAGCGAGGGTAACGCCCACTCAGGGTGGAATTTAAAACGTAACACCTAAATGTTGGCGCGCTACAGTGATGCGGTAACAAGCAGAAATGACAGCAGTGTACAATGTCACGGCAGTTTGCATCTTACATCATAAATCATCCAAACTGCTAATAAATATCAGGCTGATGATCAGACATGAAAGCATCTGAGACGTGCAGCGTGGGAGTGGACAGGACGGCATGAGCGCATTTTAAAAACCGAGCGTGCATGCTGCCTCAGCTTCTGTTGTGTTTGTGTTTGCTGCCGTGAAGCGACAGAGTAAATGCTAAGTATTCGTTTTTGTTTTCTGTGTTTTTTTGTTCTCACTTCTTGTGATGTAATTGCTGCTTGTGCTGCTCGACCCTGCTGCTGTTTCCATCCATTTTTGTTAATTTTATCCATTTTCCTTGGTTTCCTTGGTTTTACCCTCCATCCATCATCCATCTCCTGCGTGTTGGTCCTGCATCGCAGCCTGCTGCCGGGGCAACCAAACCAAGCGCAGCTGCCAAAATGCGCCCTAGCACTGCCGGTGCTGCTGGTCCTGCTCCAGGCCTGACTAAGCGTCCCGTATCCTCTGTCACCACCTCCGCCCCCCACACTACAGACAAAAAAACAACCACAGCTAAAGCACCTTCCACAACAGCTGCAGGGTCTAAGCGACCCTCCACCACTGCCAGCCGCCT